TTTTTTACTTGGGCCTATATTTTCTCTATTGGATTTAATTCGGGATGGTATGGAGGCAAACGCAGAACGTCGTGTCCACTTTCTTATAGAAGGTTATCTAAAAGAAATGTTGGTGGTGGTGGGGTTGATGAGTCTGTAAAGTTCCGGTTTTGTCATTTTAGCATCATGCGCAATGAAGCACTAAAAAGGCCAAAGTTCCTGGGTTTTTCCGTGCAAGTCGGATCGGAATGCGGTTTTTTACATTCGCTTGCAAAAATTATTTGTATCATTCCCCCGTAATTTTCGGGTCATACAAACCGGAAATTGCATTGCTGAAGCCAAAAATGCATTCAACAAATGCATTATTTGAGAGGCCTCTTGGATGATTTCAAAACTTGTTAAATAAGAGTTAGAACTAGCCCAGATCGGATGCTCGGGGGGTTTCGAGGTCCCTGATCACGATTATGATGTCTAAATTGACCCACAGCCGACCTGGAGCTCAGGAACGTCGACGAACGTCATCTTCGTGGGACTCTCCCAAAATTCACGCGGGGAAGGAGGGCAACTAGGCGATCGGGGTTTTTTGGGTCGCTGAATCCAAATATGGTATTGGCGAATACCTCCCGGACATCTGGTGAGCCCAAACCTCGACCTGGACGTCATCTCCGAGAATTTTCCTCACAATATCGACAAGAACAACCCGAAAATCATTGAGTGGAGTTTTTTGGGTAGGTGGATCTAAATTTCACGTCGAAAACGACCCCCTGAATGCCTGGTGCACCGGAACTTGGCCCTGAACATCATCCTCGAGGATTTTCCAGACACAATTCAAAAAGACGAACCGAAAATCGTTCCAGGGGGTTTTTTGGGGGCTGAATCCAAATTTCACGTGGAAAACAACCCCCCGAACACTTGGTGCGCCCTAACCTGGCCCTGAACTTCTTCTCCGAGGTTTTCCAGACCCAATTGAAAAAGAATATTATGGAACTAATATTCTGTGAATGCAAAGGAGATTGTAATCTAAAAACCTGTAGTTGCAGGAAGCACGGCCTACCTTGCAATCTTGCCTGCAAAATTTGTGAAGGTTCAACTTGCCTTAACACTGAAAGATATTCAGATGAAAACGTTAATGTGCCAGAGACAGAGGCCTCAGATGAGGGAGATGTTCCCCGTATGAATACATCAGTCGATGACGAAGAAAATGACCAGACACATTTGAGTTATTAATTAATTAAGGAATGACAAACTTACAGATTCATTGTATTCGATTTGAGGCCAATAAAAATTGTTTTACCGTAAATTACATAAATATTGCGTTTCTATTCATTCTCTTTCTTTCCTCCTCGCGTAGTGTAGAATCAACAATTGCACACAGCTATTGCAGTATTGACGCCTCGGAGATAACGTCCACGTCTAGGTTCAGACGCACCAGGTGTCCATGCGGTGTTCGTCGATGCCATATTTGAATTCAGCGACCCAAAACCCCCCCTTTGACGATTTTCGGTTCGTCGTTTTTAATTGGGTCTGAAAAAACCTTGGAGAAGACGTTCAGGGCCAAGTTAGGGCGCACCAAGTGTTCGGAGGGTCGTTTTCCACGTGAAATTCGGATTCAGCTTCCCAAAAAACCCCCCGGAATGATTTTCGGTTCGTCTTTTTCAATTATGTCTGGAAACCCCTCAAGGATGACGTTCAGGGCCAATTTCCGGTTCACCAGGTGTTCAGGGGGTCGTTTTTGACGTGAAATTTAAATTCAGCGCCCCAAAAAACTCCGCTCAATCATTTTCGGGTTGTTGTCGATATTGTGAGGAAAATTCTCGGAGATGACATCCAGGTCAAGGTTTGGGCGCATCAGGTATTCGCCGATGCCATATTTGGATTCAGCGACCCAAAAAAAACCCGATCGCTTAGTTGCCCTCCTTCCCCGCGTGAATTTCGGGAGAGTCTCACGAAGATGACGTTCGTCGACGTTCCTGTGCTCTAGGTCGGCTGTGGGTCAATTTAGACATCATAATCGTGATCAGCGACCTCGAAAACCCCCGAGAACCCGATCTGGGCTAGTTCTGACACTTATTTAACAAGTTTTGAAATCATCCAAGAGGCCTCTCAAATAATACATTTTTTGAATGCATTTCTGGCTGCAGCAATGCAATTTCCGGTTTGTATGACCCGGAAATTACGGGAGAATGACACAAATAATTTTTGCAAGCGAATGCAAAAAACCGCATTCCGATCCGACTTGCAAGGAAAAACCCAGGAACTTTTTGCTTCATTGCTTCGACTATACGTTGAACGAGCCAGCTAATCAAATCTGCCTTTTTAGTCTGGCTTGTAATCGATTTTTCAAATTTCACGTTGTGATAACTGGCATTATCGATTACAAATACAGCCCTAGGAGGAAGATTTGGTATTAACTGCCTTCTAGTCGATTGTGAAAAATTGTCCCAATTCATTTCGTCATGGTAATCTCCAGTTTTTTCCCTGAAAAAAAGTAAAAATAATTAGGATAATCATATTCTTTACTTATAATTAGATGCTTGATATTGAGACTTACAAAAATAACTCTCTATTTACAATTAAAATAGTATTTAAATAAGCTAAAACTATAATAATTGTAATTTTATTATGAATAATCTGTTTTGATGAGCTTTTGAATTATACTTCCATGAAAAAAATTATTAGTGAAAACCGTCTTGTAATAATTACCTATAGGCAGGATTAAGTACAGGTGAAGAGCTACTAATTATTACTTTAAAAAGTAAATTATTCCTAAAAAAGAATGGTTCGAATTTAGAGCTCCTCGATATTTAACCTTGCTTTATTGACCTTGGTCGGCTAACTGTTTTTCCGTAGCATATTTGAAATATATAGAAAAGTTATGACTAAAACGAATAATATCCAACTTGTGCCACTTTAGTTCTAAAGATGTGAAGCACTTCACACGTGTTCATACATTTTATCTACGACCACACTTAAATGAATTATAATTAAACTTTAATCTTGAACCTATAAATATGAGTAATATGTAAACGATTCATTGATGTACCTCTATTTTAATATGCACAAAAAATAACTTGATTTTTCGACCTTTAAATGGGGTCTTATGTTCCTTTTTCAATAATTATTTTGTATGTGTGATTTTACATACCAGAATAAGTGTAAAAATACTAATTTTTAAAAATGGTCGTTTATGAAACTTACATTTTTAACTCTTTAAAAGATTTATTTAGGTATAAATTGTACTTGCCAAAATACACACAAAATTGAATAGTCGAAAAACTAAGAAATAAACGTTTCTTTGGATCAAATCGAAAAACTAAACACAAGAAAATAACAATGACAGGAAATGCAATAAGTAAAACGCTTGCTACGCTATTGAATGCAACTGTGCAGTATTATACATAGGGAGGTCTGTGACCACGCCTACTGCCTATAAATTCAATCTGGTTTCTGCGCATTGTAAAGTAATGTACTCTACGGATAATAATCAAGCTATACACAGCCAAAAATTTTGCAGCAAAAGCTATATACACAATTTTATGAGACAGAATACACTAGCCAGTCTCTTAAAATTTTCTCTTCATTACTTGTGCTTACATTTTACACAATTTTGCTTCAAAATCTAAAATGGTATAAAATAGGCCAATTTTTCTTGTCCAATTTAATCAGATCATGCATAGATTTATTCTAGAGTGCTCAATTTTTAAATAATTATTTTATTTTAATTTTATAAAATTCCTAACAAACTTTTACTATTTTTAAGAAAATGTTATTTATAAAACCAGGTAAAAATATTCGTATCCAGTAGTTACTAATATAAAAAGGAATCCGGGCCTATTGGTCAGTAAAAGGCAGGAATTATAAAAAAAAAAAAATTAAACTTTAGAGTATACCGTATATTTCATAACCTTTTTTAAGGTATTTGAAAAAGCTCCTTCGCAGATGAAAATTAAATTTCAAAGACGATTTTCTAACGAAATTTCAGTTCTTTTAAAATTATCAAAACAAGCATTTTAATATTTTAATTAATTTATCTGTTTTGTTCAAAAATCGTTTTTAAAATTTAATTTTCATCAAATACCTACCTTAAAAGATATTATGAAGTTTAAACGAAAGTTTGTTTTTTTTTAATAATTTTGTCTTTTACTAATCAAAATACCCTAATTTCGTAGAATCGCTAAGTTAACGGTTAACTTACCTTAAAAAATTACAAATCGCACTGATTATTGAACCAAAACAGTATATATAATTGAGAGTTGCACTTCTTATCACCATCGACGAATTAGCAAAAATAATAAGACAGCCCTTTTATAATTGAAATTAATAAACAAGTCATTTTTTGTCTATTCCTAATTCAGACAAGTTCATGCAGCACCCTACTTGCTGATTTATATAGTATATATGCGATGCGCGGTTATATTAGGTAGTGTAAATAACACCCGTGTTCCTTATTTAATAATTATTATTAAATAATTATTTTTTCGTAATTACCTATTTTCTTTACAACTATATAGATGAAAAATAAGTATTTATAACTTTCTTGTAAAAGCAGTGATAAGAAATGTATTTACAAATGAAAGGCAGCCTGCTATTATTAATATTTTAATTTTAATATTTATAATAGTTTGTCATATTCTGATAGTGAAAATGCAGCCGCTAAGATTTGCTGCCCCGGCCTTGGAGCGGGTCCTGCATTCTATTTGAGCTCAATATAATCTGCGAATTACATAAGAACTAAATCTAAACTAGGAGTTGCCAACCTTTTCAGTATGCTTTAATAGCTTTCGAATAGAGTGACCTACTTAAACCTTTTACAAGGTCCTGTCCTGGACGTTTTTTCTTCTAAGAGTCTGACCTTTGTCCCGGCTGTCAAAGAAGTTTACCAAAGCATTTTTAATGATACACAAAGTTTTTTGATCTGGTCCTAAAACAAAATCCAAGAGGTCCAACATTTTGAACTCGTTGATTGTTTTTTTATCATATGTATTTAAAAGGTTTAAAAGATCATTATTTTGCTGTTCTAGTATCGTCGAACCATGGGGAATAAGCAACCTTATAGGCTATTTCAAGCCCGGCCAAACAACCACGACAAAAACAGAAGCTTACTACTATGCAGCTTTGGTACTACTGCTCCATTTATTTTACACAGTCTACGTTCACAACTACGTTATATGGGTGCAACAGCTTGGCGTCGAAATAAAAACGTCATTTTCATCGTTGTTGTACAGAAAGGCTTTGAAGTTAACACCGAGTGCGGTATCTGAAATTACGTTGGGAAATATTGTTACATTGATCACCAAGGACGTGTACGCCTTCCAGCAGGCTATATGGATCGTAAATGAAGGTTGGATAGCCATTGTACAGACCATGATTATTTGCTATCTCCTCTATGCCAAAATTGGAGTAGTTGCCTTCATTGGGATAGGTGTTGTTATGAGTGTCATACCGCTACAAGGTAATTTCGTAATAGAACAGATGATATTTTTTATCGCCAACCGTCAATAAAGCCATGCATTACCATAGCGATTTGCGAAAGTAAACAAACCCTTCAATTTAACGTAAAAATAAAATATTTTATCTGTTGCTAATATTTATCAACATCGCCATGACGGTCTGATTTGTTTTGTATTTGCTGTTATTTTTCTGTTTGTTTACTTTGTTATACTTAAATGTGATGTTATAATATCTCATTTTTTATTAATTATAATTATTAACGGTTGACGATAAAAGTTTGTATGGACCACGTCAGTAAAGTGTCTTTATCGAACTCGCCTAGTTCGATAAAGAATCACTTTTTTGAATTGGTACATAAATAACTATTTTTATACAGTAAAATACAAATTAGTACGACTAACATTGCATCGTAAAGTAAAGCACATATTCAAATGTGATTCGGAGGTAAAGAATAAAGAATAAGTGCGAGTCTTGTGTCACAAAATAATAGGAACAAAGTCCATTTCTTGCCTTGTTTGTTTTCTTCGCTTATGTATTTTTAATCCATTAATGTCAAACTATACGAGTGTCCTTGAAAATTGCGAATGGTCAAGAATAGAACTGCTGAAGGGAAGCAGTCGCTAGTTATATATTGTGAACATAATAGACTCTTTTATATTATAATTAGATAATCTTTGTTTAATATTCATTTTTAGGTTATAAATAGGAGTAAAACCTTATTATTGTTGTTATTTGAGGTAGCTTTATTGTAAGCTTTAGTCCAGGTCCAGAGTTGTCTTAAATATTCATTTAAGTGTATTTTTACTTAATAAAATTTTTAAAAATAAAAGTTCCGTTTTGGAATTTATAACTGGCACAGTCAGTAAGATACATGCGAGTCGTGAAAAAGTTTAATCGAGTTTGTTGTTGCCGAATAATAACTTTTCGTGACTTTGGAATTTTAATTCCTTAAGTGTGGTTCCTAACGAAGAATTAGTGGACGTCATCCCTTTTGTGGCGACAGTCTAGTTAGCCCGTAGAAGAATCGTCGATTGGACATCATCCCATGGTGGGATATCCGTAACGACTATTAGAAAACAATTTAAGAAAATAGTAAGTGCCAAATATCCTTTAATTTTCCTTTCCTATAATTTAGAGGTATTAAAAAGATTGTACTATTATATAATTTTAAAACTATTATATATTTAGTTTTGAAAATATTTTATAAGTGAATCAGAAATTGATACTTTTTTTGAGCAATTTGCAAATATATCGTTAACGGATAATAAATCAGATAGTGTAAAATGTAATTTAATCGTGACACATACGCCTACAGTAGTTGAACGTAGACAAGTGAATTGGGACCTTTTTAAGTCCAAAATAGATAATACAAAAATTTTAATCAAAATCCAGTAAACAATCAATAAAAAGCTAATTTTGATAAATTTCATTGTCAACCTATAAATGTACTACCAATGCCACAATTAAATAAAAAATATTTTACTACTCAACAAGTTTTTGGACCATTAAGACCAAAAAATGTTTTTAAACCAAATCAAATTCCAAAAAGCCAATTGTCTAACCGATGTCAACGACATCAAGAAACCCTTCTATTCAATCAAAAAGACAATTTTATGATAACAGAAATTTTCAAATTTATTATTCAAGACCAAATTTTACTTTTGAAGAATTACATTCTAATTTTTGCAATGATACCAATTTAAACAACAATAGGATTATCGTCATGACAATTTTGAAAATCCTAATCAAATTAAATTTAAAAATGAATCAATTAATTAAGGTGACTTTGAACAAAATTTTCAGATACCGGCCTTATTAAAAACAAAAAGATAGTGGAATTGCACAATATTTAAAACAATTCAGTACCCTATATCGAAATATGCGAACCAAACTAAAAGTTTTAATTGATACAGGAAGTTATAGGTCAATAATTTAACCTTCAGTTGCAAAAAAATATTTTTCGCAAACAATTTACCATTCAGAACTTATCTTATCCACAAGAATGAGAAGTCAACAGATTAATTATTAAGCTTTAGTGCTGCGTTTGCAGAGTTTAATTCTAATAATAAATACATAGACTTATTCTGTACGATTTTCACACATTTTGTGATGGAATATTAGGTTTAAAAGATATGATACACTTAAATTTGAATATAAACCGGACACAAGAAAAGTTAGTAGGTATCATTGAAATACCTGTTAAATATAAACGAGTTGATGAAGTAATTTCTTTAGATTCTAAAGAAAAAACAATTAAAAAATTGCCAGTAAATATTAGTGATGGAGCTTTTTATTAAATTAACAAAATATTAACGAATTATTTATTCCTCAAATATTGACTTTAGCCAAAAAAGGCTTTGCTTTTATAGAAGTTCAAAATAGTACTAATAAACCAATTAAAACAATTTTAAGAAACCCTATAGAAGTTCATAATGCTAACCAGTACGAATTTTTCAAATTCGAAAATTTTAATAATATGCTATCAAAACATTGCAATTAAATCAAAAAAATATTATCAGTGAAACAAATCTTCAAATTTCGTTGTAAAAAAGGCTTGCTGATCACTATAATAAATCAATCATAATCTTATGCAAAAATAAAGAAAAATTTAAAATTTAGATTGTCAAATGACAATTTCTTTTATAGATAATTTAGAAAATTCCATAACCTTTGCAAAACTCAATACTTTACATAATTTTATAGTTTCCAGATCAGACATAAAAAAACATGATAAAATATTTACATAAAATATATAATATTGATCAAATTTCGAAATTTACAAATTTATTAACTTATTATCAGTTTTTAGGGAAGCAAGTGTCAATTTCAGAATCTAAGTTAATGTTTGCAATACATTTTCCTATTTTTGAAAGTAATACCTTTAAATTTTATCATTTATTCCCAATGATCCAAAACCAAGAAATGCATAACCTTTATTCTCCTATTTGGCACGAAAACATCAAGATACACAGTTTAAACGAGAATTATGTCCATCCCTTGAAGAAATCTATTATTGTCAACAGAATTTCATCGCCAGAGATAATTGTACTCTCCAACTTCTTGAAGGAAAAACTTTGACAAATTGTCGTATTTTAAATGTTAATTTAGAAGAATCAGTATTCGAACAAATTCTTTTAAAATTTAACAGTAACCAGTATATAGACATAAGGTCATCTGTATTTATCAAGATACCAAAATCTTGTAAAATTTGGACCAATGAAAGAAGATAACATTCAACTGAGCAGAGGAAAGCCTTTCATTCTACCGAAGATCGACATGAAAAAAATTCAAACTTCAAAATCTTATCAAACTTCTAATATAACTTATTTAGATTTTACTATTTTATATGAAATTAATCAAGTTTCTAACAAATTAAAACCAATTAAAGAAATTCCAAATAATTTTAATTATTCAAGCACTTCTGGAACAATTTTTGTAATTTTTATTTGCATAATTATTTTAATGCTAATTAAATACAGAAGACAACTTTTAAGAAGATACAGAAGAAAGAAAACGAAGAAATTGAATTAGAAAATCTCACAGAAGGTGTTTTGAAAAATAACTCTATATTTTTCAAAACTTAAGGAGGGAGGAGTTATATATTGTGAACATAATAGACTCTTTTATGTTATAATTAGATTATCTTTGCTTAATAATCATTTTTAGTTTATAAATAGAAGTAAAACCTTATTATTATTATTATTTGAGGTAGCTTTAGTATAGGGTTTAGTCCAGAGTTGTCTTAAATATCCATTTAATTGTATTTTTACTTAAAAAATTAAAAAAAATTAAAGTTCCGTTTTGGAATTTATAACTCGCTCGTATTTTTTGGTTGCACCTGATTGACTTTTTCTTCCTTATTTCTTTCGCAACTAATGAAAAATTAATAAAATAATAAAAATATATTATTTTTCAGTGGTCATCGGAATATATGTGAATAAATTAAGATTAGCGGCAGGAGAAAAAACAGATCAACGTCTACAAGTACTTCAAGAAACACTTTCTACAATTAGAATTATCAAAATGTACAAATGGGAAGACTATTTTAGAAAAAAAATTAACGATTCAAGATTGTGAGTACTATTTATAAAGATCGACCATAATTATTCAGCTATTTTAAATTAACACCTCATTTTAGACAAACGGAAACTAGCAGAACCACAAAACATATGTATATTTTTTAAATTTTTCGAGAAAATATATCTTTTTGATTTCTTACTTAGAATCAGGCGCCGCTAGAATTATTTTCAGGAGGAGGGGCAAATATACTTTGTGAACCTAACCTTAAAAGCATACATGACTAATTTGATTTAATAGATAAGAAATCTGATCCTCAATGACAGTTTAAGTTTATTATCAATAATTAGTCGATAAAATTTGCTTGATAAGAACTCCTCCCTGGTTTTATGGAGAAATAGCACTCGCTTACATTGTACACGCGTCGTATGTGGAGTGATGAGGTGTGAAACCATGTTGGAAGTAAGGGATACGTTTCCTTGTTCACAAAAGTCCGAGATTATTTCCTTGAGCAGAAATTCAAGGAGTTTACCTAGTACTGATATGAGAAAGATAGGATGGAACAAATTAAGGATTTGAGGTCTTTGCCTCGTTTGGGAATCAAAATGATAGCGGATTTCCAGGAAAGTGGAAAGTATGAGAATGATAAACAGGCGTTTAGGAGTGGAGTGAGGATGGAAAACATGGTTTCAGGAAGATGTATGAAATCAAGCCGTGTTTTTGCCTGCTTGGCAGGCATATTAGATGTCTTGGAGGGTAAATGGGACAGTGAGGCAGTTTTAGACATCCAAAGGTGGGACTGGAGCGGCAAGTGTCCGAAAGATGTTGTGTTGGGTCTCGTATCGGCATTAGTCGTCAAAGTTTGGGTTGTTTGGGGTTCTGAAGGCGGATTCGAGATATGTTTTGTGAGCTAGGGGGCTTTTTCGTCTGGGGTTGTGTGGGTTACACCGGCGATTTCAATGTAGGAGTGAGTTTTGAATTTTTGACCAGTGATAAGTCGAAATTTGTCCTAAAACTTGGAACCATCGCTATGATCCAAAGTAGAAGTAGTCTATTGTTGTTATTTGTGTTATTTTGGAGCCTGATCAGAGCATTGTGATGGTTTCATTCGGTTTTGATGACAGGGTCGTGGGTACGGACATATTGTCTATAGTCTATATAATCAGCGTAATTGTGGCTGAAGTTTTCAAGGCGCAGGAGATGGTAGTTTGGAATTCGGTACCAGTGTGTCGATGTCCTGCGGGGAATTGAGAGGACGTTGCTCTGAAATATTTGTATAGATAGTTCTCTGAAATAGTGGCCAATATTCTTTTTTGAGATTATGGAAGGTGTATATTGTAGCTCTTGGTGGAAATGTATGTAACATCCATAGAAGATGATCGGAAGTAATGGTTTCAACAATGAAGCATCTATTAGCAACCAGACCAGTACAGGAATCTGTCAAAAGGATGTGGTCGATAATAGATGATTCTAGGTAAAATACAAAGGTCGAAAGTTGGTTTGAGGCTTTGATTAAGGGGTGAAAATTTGAAGGGTGACAGGAGCTACCTGTTCGGGTCTTTATGGTGGTTTTTGTTGTGTTTTTTGTGGTGGTTTTTGCCGTTCGGGACAAGTGATATGTCATGTTTCATAATAGAAAGATCATGATAAATAAGGCGAACGACAAAATTGTTGTAACTCTAATCCATTTTTTTTTAGAATAGAAATAAATAAAATGCTGTTAGGTTTTTACTTAAAAATCGTAATAGTCCTTTTGGGAGTCTTATTTTCGAAAATAGGCTTCTATATACTAGTCATATCATGCATCTGGATGGGAGTCTCGACTGAAACGGAAATAATATTCTACCTATTATCAATCTTCAAGGATCTGAAACACAGTTTGGGAATTATAATACCCCACGGGATTGGTAGAGGAGCTGAATTGTTTTCTGCAATAATTAGAATTAATAAAGTTATAAAAGGTAAAATAATACATTTTACAAACTTTGAGATAATAAAATTTATTTAATTTTTTTTATTTTAGGAGAAGAATTACCACCAAAATTAGGCTCTGATGCCCCTACCGACAATCCATGTATAGAATTAAAAGACGCAAAAGTCAATATAAAAGATAAATGCATTCTAAAAGATGTCAATTTAAGTATAAGTCACGGATTAATATTGGTCACTGGAACTGTAGGATCAGGAAAGAGTTCGCTATTAAAGATGATCTTGCAAGATTATCCATTATCCAACGGATATTTATTAACTTTTGGACGTATCTCTTATGCATCACAAGATCCCTGGTTGTTTCCATCTTCGATAAAGCAGAACATTTTGTTTGGGGAGAAATATAACGAAAAAAGGTATTTAATTCAATTGTCTATTGTTTATTGTCGGTTCTATTGGGGAAAAAGGGTCACTTTTATTAAAGTTGATATTATATAACTATTTATTTTTTACTCTTGTGAAGTACTTATAACTAGTTGTTATAGACATGTTTATAAGTTGATGTCTTGTTAAGTTGGTACGAAAAAAACCAAAATTCGTTCTAAAACGTTTCACTTATTTTGAAAGTAGATCTTCAAATATTAAGAACATCAATAGGTTATGGGCCCAGGTACCCAGGTGCAATTATTTTTTATAATTGAAAGCAAAGTTATACAAATTTGTAAATATAGATGTTGAAACCAAAACATTGCGAATCCAAGTAGGACTATAGGATTGACAAAGCAATTGGTCCACCTGAAAATACAAAATGTTAATTTTTTGAGGAAAGTCCCTCACGCCTTAGATGTTCTTGAAGGCAAATTGAAAAAACTTTCGATGCTACTGCAGCACAAAAACCAATATTCGAAATGGAAATTGAAATGTTCATGAAAGCAGATAATTCTGCACTAAGCTCTAACCAGAGGCATGACAGAAGATACATTACAGAATGTAATGATACATTCTACTGCAAGCAAGAGATGTATGGCTGGAACTGCACAGACTGATGACAAAACAGAAGACAAAACTTACGATACGATAGGTGTATGAAAATTTTCAATTACTGGAAACAATTAGAAGACATTATTATTGGAATTGTTAATGATAAACTAGCATCAAACAGTTCCTGCGCTACTGATCTGCAAGATTCTTGCCACATTACCAAAGAAGTATTTTCCTTTCAAATCCAGCTGGATCCTAATATGAAAGTCCGATATAACCCTTAATAATATGACATATCAAATAATAGCATACTGAAGAGCATTCTCAAATAAGAGTGAAAGAATTCAAGAAGTTTTATTATTTCTTTATTGGTGATCCTACTATTACTGATCCTGATATGAACACCTTTCAATGCTATAACAACAATATTTGCCATAAAGTGCGCGAAGAATTTCAATTCACCAATTTCAATGAAGACCAAATTTTGGAAATCATAAAAACAACTAAATCTAAGGCTTACGGAAGTGATAATTTAAATATCGATATCATATTAATTTGTTGTCCGTTTATTTTAAAGTATATTTCACATATATTTAACGAATGTATAAACGTTGGTTACTTTCCCACTGCTTGGAAGCATGCATATGTCATTCCTCTACCTAAAGTCTCCCAACCGCTACAATTAAATCAACTAAGAAGTATAAGCATTCTCCCGGTCCTTTCCAAAATTTTTGAAAAACTCTTAGATAAACAACTAAATTTGCATATAAAAAAATTCGATATTCTTCCCAAAACCCAATCAGGATTTAGAAGTGGATATGGGTGTTCAACCGCTTTAGCCGATGTTACCGATGACATATTGCGCTCACTTGATGCAAATAAAGTATGCACATTAGTACTAATTGATTATTCACGTGCATTTGACACATTGAACCACAAACTTCTATTAGCAATTTTGCATTTTATTCGTCTCAGCCATTTGTCGATCAAAATTATAACTTCGTATCTAACAAACCGCGTTCAACAGGTGGTTCTTAACAACACTTTCTCTAATTGTTTGTTAGTCAGAAAAGGTGTTCCTCAGGGCAGCATTCTTGGCCCATTACTGTACACCTTATATACATCCTTCCTACATTCACATCTAAATCATTGTAAGAGCCATTTATATGCTGATGATACACAAATTTATTATTCTTTTGAACTGTCTAAAATTGAAGAGTCGGTCAGGCGTATTAATGACGATCTCTCTATTCTTGTAAGTGCATCTGAAAAACACTCATTGCATATCAACTCAACAAAATGTTATGTTATTGTATTTTGCAGTGAAAATAACCGACAGCTGATCTTGCCACAAATACAAATCACCTTAGGGAATGAAATTTAAAAAATTAGTTCCTCGTGTAAAAATCTTGGTTTGACGATTGACTCGCAATTAAGGTTTGATAAACATATTAACGAGAAGGTTAGGAAAGCCTACTCTTCCCTAAAACTAATTTATCCACATAGAACAGATTTGTCTACTGCAACTAAACAAATGCTTACTGATTCTCTTGTTTTATCGCACTTTAATCATTGCGACACGGTATATGGTTCTTTTTTACGATTAATTGAAAAGAATCGAATTCAGAAAGTACAAAATAGTTGTTTAAGGATGATCTATGGCATAAGGAGAAGGGAGAGGATTTCTTATAAATTAAAAGAGGCGAATTGGCTGAACATGTTTAATCGTCGGAAACTTCATTCTCTCTGTTTATTTTATAAAATAGTTAAGACCAAAATTCCCTCATACTTACATCAAAAGATAAGTTTTCGGACCGACGTCCATCATATTAATTTAAGGAAAAAGAATGCCATTACCATTCCATCTCATAATAAACAAATATTCAAAAAATCATTTAGCTACCAAATTGCATTGAACAGTCATCTTCTTGATATACCAAATTTCAGTCTTTCATTAACAGCTTTTAAAAATAAATACAAACAAATTTTTTTACGCGAACAGACATTTTAAATTTTAAGTATTTTTTTGTGATTTTTAATATTTATTAATATAGATTAAGGTTCCTTTCACTAGTTAATTATTCTTTTAACTGTATTTTTAAATTATTCTAGATATGTATATGTATTTTTACTCTTTATTTTACTTATTTATTTTTTTCAAGGCGAGTGAGGTAGAATTGGTCTTATGACCTATCACTCGACCTTTTATTTGCCTAATTAGTATATTTAGTGTATTTTTGTTTTTTTATATTTTGTATTTTTGTACATCCTTTATTGGCAAATAATAAACTATTATTATTATTATTATTATTATCTAAAAATAGTACTAAAAGATTGAGCGAACGCAAATTATCCAAAAATATATTCTACCAATATTGCAAAAACCTAGACACAGAGTCAAATTGAGCACAAAGTGGAAATTTTTCAAAAAAAAAACTCTAAAACAACTAAAACGCATTATAAAACGTTTATGATACAAACATAACATTATGTGCCTGCTCCCATATCGTTCTTACCACTAAATGTGATTCAAGCAGGTGTGTTTTCGACAATTTACATCACTAACAGACGTGACTAATATGAATGAAGGCTACAAGGTAACATTGGGGAAGGTAGCTAATATAATCAATTAAGGCACAAGTCAATGACCAGTGGTAGAAGATTAAGCTCTCATACGTATGGTGTGTACCTTTTATAAAGAAACACTTATTCTCTGTCCTGTCTGCTTAAGATAAACAACCAGAATGTAACTTTTTCTCCAAAAAACGAAGAATTTAGGTTTGTATTAGTTGATGAAGTACTCTCGTAGAAATCAGTAATGGCTTTGGATGATTACTCAAGTTTCACGTCAAAAATTAAAGTTCTAATACAGCTTAAGAAACCTCCGCCTTTCCGGATAATCTGCTACAGCTGTACCACGAGAAATTTGGTAACCAGAATAAGAAACACGTGAAAAAAGTTAAACTCTAGAGAACTTGGAATAAACGTAATTCTGGACAGTGCGAAGTGTATATCTTCAGTAAAGCACATTAACAAAAATTTGTATTTAGAGAAATGTCGACGATACCTGTAAAGCAGATCCATACCAATGTTTATGGATCTTTTGTGCCTTTATAATAGTATATTATGCAACGAGCACGAAATGAAGCATATTTTTCACGAGTATGAAAGTTTGAAACACGAGCCGTAGGCGAGTGTTGCAAATCATACGAGTGCAAAATAGCTATTTCGTGCGAGTTGCATACTATACTTTTTCTACGACTGCTTTCTATTACATAAACAAACACAAAAAGAATAAAAGATTTATTTTATTAACTGGAATAGATAACACTGCAAATAACAAATTGTGGATAAATAAACTCGATTAAAACTGAAAAACTGGTCAAGCCATACCCCAAATTATTTATAAAAATTAAACGTACAATTATTAAAAACCATTTTTGGGGAGGTAGTAGTGATATTATGTTCAATATTTACATTGACATTTACAGTGACTCAAAAATTGTGTGTGTGGTCCTGGCCGACACTTATCTTGTGTTTCCGGATTTAACGGTCGAACTGGTCTGGTCCGTGTCTTAATGGTAGGTGAGCGGTGAGCCTAGGATGACTTCAAAACACTGCCCAAGATATTCCGCAGCTCTAGTGGCAACTAGCTGACAATGATTCTGCAGTTCCAGATTACAAAGGACAATTCCTTAGTTTATTACAGATCCAGATCCTTAGTTTGTTACAGATACAGATCCAGTTCCTTATTTTGTTCCAGATCCAGTTCCTTAGTTTGTTACAGATACAGAGGCAGTTCCTTATTTTGTTCCAGATCCAGTTCCTTAGTTTGGTACAGATCCAGAGCCAGTTCCTTATTTATTAAAAAAGAAAAAACGTGTCAGTTACAACAAAAAAACCGTATCTTTCCATTGCTTCAAAAAAAAACAACACATGTGGTCAGCCAAAAAAACTTACAATTTAAATTAAACATTCTTAAATTAAACATTTCAAATTTTACAACAATATTAGAGAGTTGCAATAGTATTTAATTTAAAACACATGAAGAATGGAAAGATCTTTTCAAATAACTGAGAAGAAAAAAAATAAAATTAATGGCAGCCATTTTGTACATTTTGGAATTTATATTACGCGAAAAGCTTACTATAAATAAAAGAGATAGGTAATTCAAAGATAATTTCAGCAGAATATGCACACAATAAAATTAATTTCTACTTTTCATTAATAACAAAAAAATTCGAGATTACCTTAGTTATTCGGACACACAAAGCACTAAAATCAACCTGTCTAACTCGCTGCTAGATTGAAAAGAAAGTCAGGAGTCGATCGAATATGGAACATGGAAAAGTAAGCCAGGCGCACGCAGAACACCTGACCGTAATTATTGATTTTTAGAGAGAGCGCATCATTGGTTGGGCTATCGAATGTCTTAGACAGAGACACATTCCCGTTTCAACATACTATCTATAATTCCAAATACGAGGGGCGCTCAAAAAGTATTAGAATATATTGGAATAATAATGAACTAATTAAATATTGTAACTATTAAAAGGGAGTGACGATTACAACGTAACACTATATAAATCTTATTTGTTAAGGATTCATCTATATAGCTTTCAGCAACAGCTGTAGACTTCCAGCCGCCATGACGCTTTAACGTGGTTATGTCACCACCAGCATCAACTAAAATTGTTGCCGAAGAACGGCGGAAGCAGTGACCTGTATATAACTCAGGATTTGGCAATTTCAAATACTTAGCAATATCTTTTTCCATTGCCCCAATTTTATTTAACCCTATTCTTTGAACGGTGCATTTACCTTTTTGGTAATTTATAAAAAACCAGGGATCATTAACATGAGGAGGGCGAAGGTCGGCATATTTTTTAAAATTTTTATAATATTGACCAATTATAGTGAACTTTCGAACAATTTTGATTTTAGTGTCTGGTACCGTCACCAAAACTGCTTCATATAAATCATTAAAATTTGAAATTTTCATCTGATGTAATTCATGTCGTCTGCATGCACCCATTACACCCATAATTAACGCAACCTACAATAAAAATTCACAAATTGAAAATACTTTGCATTACACAAATATAAAAAATAACATATTTTAAATATAAATAACCTACTTTTGTTACTAAATATATCTCATCGGAAGCTTCTTTTATAAATTTTTCGATTTCATTTGACGTAAAAGTCTTCGACTTTTTCGGTTTGTATCCGTCTGACTGCCGCTTGAGAAATGCTTTCAATTTCAAATATTTGCTAATATCTATATTATTATTAATGCTGATAGTCGCTCTTAACATCGAATATTGTGTCCAAAGCGTAGAACTTTTAATTTTTTTCGCCAATTCGGCAAAATAAGCCACTAAAACGTTCTCTGAAAATGAGTTTGCGTTCTCACCTTTTTTCCAATTCATGAAGAGGTCATAAGATCGTTGATATAATTTTTTTGATGTTGGAGGCAACAAATTTAAAGTTGTTACTTTTGCAGCTTCCTTTATGTTTATAGGTGTTAATTCTATATCACTATCACTGTCCATTTTATTAATATATTTCATAAAAAAAGATAATTATCGTAAGTTATGTCAATATAAATTTACTGATTCAGTTTTTCAGTTTCAATCGAGTTTATTTATCCACAATTTTTTATTTGCAGTGTAATCTATTCCAGTTAATAAAATAAATCAAAATGATATTATAGCCGCCTTAGTTTTTGATCTACTAAATTAAAATTTCATTTCGCACGCGTTGCTGGGCAACCCGTGCAATATGAAATGTTGTGTAAAATGTGTATGATATAAGTTCCAATAGCCGAATCAAAATGATGATTTATCATTGCAACCGTAGAAAAACATATTTTCGATAGCATGTTATCTTCAAAGACGATTACAGCAAATTTAGATATATTTTTCCATATCAAAGAAAAATCCGAGGTGTCTGAGAAGCTTAAGCAGAAACAAATGCCACCGGACATGCCGTTAAGAGCATTTGAATGGTGCTACGGTAAAAAATTAAATAATAGAAAAGTTAGAGCAATTATCCATTAAAACAGAGTCAGATAGACTCTAGTAATGCCTTTTACAACAAAGAAAAATTGGTATGGAGAAAGAGACAACAGGACTATTGGCACTTGGGGGGTAAAGGGGTTATAAGTAGAAAATATTCAAATTTGAGTTAAATCTGTCATGATACTTCTAAACTCATTCTGTACCCCTGGGAAAAGGAATATAAGTAATGGGAAAAAGGGATATAGGTAATTTAAGCCTTATAAAATTTGGGTATTTAAAAAAACTGTTTCAAACGCGATTATTAAAACTTTAAACTCAGTTTACCATAATTGTTGATTTGACAAGAATCATGTTTTAGTTTATTTATGTTTATATTATAACAACAGTCGCTCACCTACTAAATAGGACAGGAAAATGAGAAGGAGATGGTAAGACACCCAAGGAAGTATGGTTTAACAAGAAGCCAACCCTGAAACACCTACGTATTATAGGAAGTACTTGCTACCCACACATTCCCAAACAGTCTAGGAAATAGTTGGACAAGAAAGCAATTAAGGGAATATTGATCGGAAACGATAATGACGTTTTCACTTTTTATGAACGCCCACTTAACTGCAAGTTAACTGATTTTTCATTTGTTTTATCAGAAAGAGTGGTTGAGAAAAGAACTATACAAACAGATAATAAAAACAGAAAAGGAAGCATATTAAACGATGTTGCAAAAATATGAGAGGACGTAATAGCTAAGAAAGATGAAATTTAAAGAACAGTAACTCAGAAGAGGAGAATTATTTAAAGGAAGCTGAAGTAGAAAGACAGCTAAAAAATAGATTCAAAATAAATATACTTACGAAATTTGACGACTTTGTTAAGAAAACTAATTCCCTTTTTTTATTATTACAAAGTATTGATGGGCTATCTATATATCTGCCCGGAAAAGGAAAACTGGAGAAAGACCATAGATAGTTGTAATAGGGCATTTTAAAGAAAAAGACACCTGGACTCTGCACAAAGAAACATCATCCTTATTCTTTTAGAACTTACGATTTGTGAGATATATGAATGGTGCATATTACTTTCGGCGTTTCTCAGAACCCTTTTGATTTTTAATGCACATTTTCTATTTGCAGGTACAAAGAAGTTATTAAAGTTTGCGCCTTAGAGTATGATCTAAAACTGTTTGACAAAGGAGATGAGACTATTGTTACAGATAAAGGATTAAATTTAAGTAAAGGACAGCAGGCAAGAGTAAATTTAGCAAGGGCCATTTATAAGGATAGTGAAATATATCTTCTAGATGATTCTTTAACAGGTAAATATATCTAGCATAATTTGGGATCTCTATTAACTTTATTAAAAATATTTTAAAATGTTGTGCATGTTTCGTTTTAAACGTACAGTCTTAGATAATCTTTTAAGTTCAATATTTCCTTTTAAGTAAGCTTAAATTTGGTTTAAAATAAATAAATGTAGGGACTCACTTTAAATCATATCTTACAGCTCTGGATGCTCATGTACAAGACTACATTTTTGATGAATGCATAAAATCATTCCTCAAAGACAAAATATGCATGCTCGTTACCCAAACGGCTAGCCACATAAATGAAGCTGATACTGTTATCATCATGAATGAAGGACATATTAAATATAACGGCGCACCCAACGAAAAAATTATAAAAGAAATCAACGCAATCGTAGTGGAAGACGACGACCTCGAAAAGGAAGTTATAGACAAAGATGAACAATCGCAAAAAATGAACGGAGAAGCTAAACCAAAAGAACTACTCGAAACTGAACAAACTACGAAAATGAAAGTTTATGGCGAGACTAATAAAAAGGGAGAGGTTGATTTTGCAGTGTACAAAAAATACATCATTTTCGGGGGTGGATTTATTTTGATGTTAGTAAATGTCATTTTGTTTGGAGTAACTCAAGGTACAGAAAGTTATTCAGATTCGTTGCTGACCAAATGGTAAGTTATGAATTGAGATTAAACAATATTTTCACCAACATTAGTAGGCTTTAGATATTTTGAATTCTTCTCATGCTATAATTACATTACGACGATATACTTCGGAAGCATCTGAAAAAGTGAAAGTAATAGCCATATTTTTGTTTGCGCTATTCATACGAGGGCTGTTTTCTTTCCTAGGCGATAATATTTTTTAATATTTCTGCAACAAATTTTGTATGACATTTCAAGCTAGTTATTTACATGTAGTACCAGTTGTCAAATATACCTTAACTGTAAGTTACATAAATTTAAAGTAATCCTTTTACCAATAAGTGATGGAATAAGTAGCATTTTATCCTGCTGTTGTAAAAAACAGTAATTTTTTAATAAGTAAATCAATCAAGTGCTTTGTGACAAGTCGTGTTTCTTCGCTACCATAAGGCGGTGGCGTACAATGAATTTCAACATGCTCAACTTTCCTTAAATGACAGGTTTAGAGCTTCTAAGATAAAAACAGCAAAATAATTTATCTTATTTGGAACACGATTAAAGAGGACCGGCATATTACTATCAGAAACATTCAAGCAACTTTAGAGATTGGTTTAAAAGCAATTAACACTATTTTACCCAAAAGTTTGACGTTGGGCGCCAATATTTGTAACGAGGGTGTCAAAGTTCATAAACCCTAATATTGTTGAATAATTTAAGTGATTAAAGCTCTGTACTAAGGGTCGTGAATGGATATAATAACTCAAGTACTTTGCAATTAGAATAAGACGCCACAATATTTAAATCTGTATATCTCTACGTATAAAGTAATTGATAAAAATATGGAAACAAACATTAATATTAAATTTAAAGGATATGGCTTCACAAGATACAGGAAACCAAATTATAATATACAAGAGCTTCTAATAATAAAACTAATTTTAAATTTATCCATTTTTTCCAAGTATTTTGTACAGTAAATAAGAGACTTATTTCAATGAGGTAGGGCTTCTTTAAGGAGGTGAAATAAGGCTCATCTACGATAAAATGTCTTCTATGGTGCTTCTGAGGTCCTCACGACGTTAATACTGCATCATATCAGCAAATCCTTCTTCACATAACAAGGTTATAATCTTAATCTTTCTTCAAATTAAACCATAAAATTATTTTTTCAATAAAGCGACGATCATGCAGATCCTTCTTCATATAACCACAAAAATACCATTCTAATGTTGCATCGCTAAAATAGTTCGACCTTCTAATGGATAATCGGATAGGTAGGAAGAACGAGACGAACTTTTTGAATAATAAAATAAAATATATTTTACAGAAACCAATATTCAAATTATTCGACCCACAAAAAAAGTATAACCTCAAAAATTAAAATTATAAATCTCATTAATCTTAAATTTTTTTTTTGAAACCAAAAAATACAGTATTTATTACTCACGATAAATATTCTAATGGCGATTAAAAAGGGAAAAAATGTCTTTATCTAAATTGGACTCGTGAATACCAAGTTCAGTAGAGAAATGTCAACCGTAAAATGTCTCTCTATTGACAGACACAGAATTATCATCGAAGGAAAGAGATAAAGCAATAGCGGTGTAAAAGATATACCGTTACAAAGTCCGTAAGCTTTGTTCTCGGTGGATTCCCCATAACTTGACTTTAGCTCAAAAAAAATTAAAGAGTTACACTAGATAATCTGTTGTATAACATCATCACAGGTGATGAAAAATGGATATACTGCTATGTTCCTGAAAAAGCAACAATCGTCAGTTTGAGTCTCTCAGAATAAGTCAGCTGTTCGTTAAAAAAGCCGAAATAATAAGATGGTAGCCATTTTGTTTGTAATTACTGGGCATGCTTTTACTGTACCACTAGAGGATAGACGTACTATTAATTCAGAATGGTAAAAATGGTACACTACAATTTGTTGGCCTCAGATTCTTCAAAAGATTGTGAAAAACTTCCAAGAAGAAAGATCATGTTTTATCAAGATAACGCTTGGGCTCACACTGTTACTTGAAGATAGTTTTAGCAGTGTAGCTTTATATTAAATCCTCTAGACTGTAAAAATATTTGTAATTGTTACCATGACTAATTTAATGTCATTTCTAAAAAAAAAACAATCCAGTCCTTTAAAAAATTAAGGGTCCAGGCTAAGAAGGAGGAAGGTAATTTTTTCAATATTTTCAATATTTTTATGCCAATCGGTAGAGAATAAAAAACTCAATGGCCTAGTACATAAAACAGGCCAAAAATGGACATAGTCGTGAGATAATATAGGTTAAAGTTTTAAAATACAGGCTAATAAGGGGGAATATCCATGTGCTACACGCTAAGAAGGTGAAGAGTCAGTGATACCGAATAAAATCATATTAGACCAAGCTCGTGTGTACAGTGTACAATGTGCTTTTTTGGCATTTTGATTACCTACAGTACTGTGCATATTATTTATAAACAGTAACATTTCTAGTGTGTGATAAACAATAATCAAAATAAACTTGAGTGACACTGAGAATAACTGTGAAAACTTTGGCCAAGGAAAAAAGAGAAAACGATTTGGTAAAGAGACAGACGTCGTCAAGAAAATGAACCTCCAAAGCCACGAGACTGAGAATGTGCAAAAGACTTCGTTGCATTTAGACTATTTTGGTTAAAACAAGAAAATAAATCATCCGTGAGTTCAATTTATTAAAATTTGTAAATAAAATATTTATTTGTGTGGATTGATAGTGCTTACCCAGTACAAAACCGCCGACCACGTAAAGAAGAAGCGGTTGCTAAATTCCATGAAAGTTTATTTTCGTATCGCGTTAGAATTATAAATAACAGATGGAAATGTAGCTGAAGTACCCGTTTGTTGTAAGGCTTTCTATCTTTGCATAGTATAACAAAGAAAAAAGTTAAAGTGTTGCAAAAATCATTAAAAATGACTATAAAAGTCCCTACTAATATGCGGGGAAAACAGTTGAACAGAACAATAAATTTATATATTTTTCCACATGTTTAAATATATTCTGGGCACTACTAATAAAAGATTGCATCGGTTTAATATCAGTTCCTTTTAATCCAAAACATACATTGCTACTCGAATAAATGAATATGTAGTGGGTCAATAGTCGTATAGTTAAATCGCTGGAGCCTGACGGTATCTATCCAGCCCTACTTCAGTGGGGTCTGGAAGAACTCACACTGCACCTGGTGGGTATATTCAGATCCTCGTTGGCTCTGAGGTATATCTCCAAAAAATGGAGAGGTAAAAGTGGTATTTATACCCAAACCTGCAAGGATGGATTACATTGTCCCAAAAACATACCGACCAATTAGTCTGACATCGTTTTTCATGTAGACATTGGAAAGGCTATGCGAAAGGTACATAAGGGATGCGGTGATTACAACAACACCACTATACCCAAACCAACATGCATACACCCGAGGCAGATCTACTGATTCAGCCCTTCATCTAGTTGCTGGCCGGATAGAAAGATCCCTGGAAAATTAGGAGTCCGCCTTGGGTGTTTTTATAGACGTAAAAGGCACTTTTGATAAAACCACCTTCCCACTAACCAACAGAAATGTTCCACAAATGTTTAGTGGGTGGATACATAACATGCTCTCAAAGCGAACAGTAAAAATAAGTATAGAAGATGGTTGCAAGGGGATGTTCACAGGGAGGGGTGCTATCTACTGTGAAATATGGTTCTCCACACTCTCATCAGCCGCCTCAATAATGACAGTCACTACACAATGGCATATGCAAATGCATTTTGCAAACAGGGAATTTTGAGAACATACTCTGTAAAAGAATGCAAGTAGCTCTAAAAATTATAGAACAGTAGTGCAAGGACCATTCACTGTCTATCAATCCTAAGAAGACAGAAATGGCCCTTTTTACAAGGAAAAGAATGAAAATGGAATTAAAACTTTCAGAACTCCTAAACACAAAACTAAACTTTGCAACAGGGGTGAAGTACCTAGGTCTCACCTTTGACAGCAAGTTAACATGGAACTCGCATTTAGAAAACAGACAATGACACTCCTCCGCACGGTTGGAATATAACCTGATGTAGGATCTGGTGAGGCGAGACGTCGCTTTTGGCAGGAGGCGCTTGATACGCTCCCACTGCTTCAAGCGAACATGGACTCCATCTCACCGAGCTATATCTTCCATAAGCCATATAAAGTTATAATAGAACAAATAGAAGAGCCAGAAGTGGCAGGTACGATTCATATCTACACCGACGGTTCTAAAACAAAACAAGGCTCAGGATGTGGAATATACTCCAGATTTTTAAACCTAAACATAAAATGGGCTATGAGTAATAGTGTCAGTATAGTTCAAACAGAGCTAACGGGGATTCTCATAGCAGCAAAAGAAATAAACAGAACTAATATCACTGGAAGGAACATGATCATCTATACAGATAGCAGACAAGCACTACTCACTCTGAACAGACCACAAATTTACTCATGGTTAGTACTAGAAAGTCACGAAGCTTTGGCCGAAGTATCCATCAACAATGTGGTCACCTTAAGATGGATCAAACGTCACGCCACATCGAAAGGTAACCATCTTGCTGATTCACTAGCCAAGAAAGCAGCCAACCAAATACTTTTTGGACCTGGCCTTCCTATTGGCCGAAGAAAAACGGTAGTGACAGACCTAATTAAAGAACATTCCCTTGTGAAATTCAAGGAAATATGGGATGAATCAAAAAAATGCAGAGTTTCCAGGGAAATCTTAAGTTATCCTGACAACATTGCAGCAAACAAATACTTGACTATGACTAGACAGAATCTGCGCCTAGTCAATATGCGCCTAGTCACAGGCATTCTGACTGATTATTGCCAAGTACGGAAGCATTTCCATATCATGGGGTTTTCAGAATCCGCACTCTGCAGAGGGTGCGAATAAGAAGCTGCTACCATCAAGCATATCCTTTACGATTGCTCGACGCTGTTATTTATTAGAAAATTTGTGTTCGGCGAGTTTCGGCTAACACCGGCCGATATAAGAGAAGCACCTCTTGGTGACGTTGTCAACTACATTAAATCTGTAGGCTGGATCACGAGCTAGGAGGTGCCTATCATCTTAGGAGGATGCACAATGGGCCCAATGAGGCCTAAATGCCGTGGAAGTAACCCACCCTCCACACGTTACATGTACAGAGAATCGTCGTATAGTCCAGACCTAGTACCTATTGACTTTTTCTTATTTCCGCGGGTAAACAATAAATTACGGGATTTACGTTTGCCATTAAAAATAAAATAAATAAACTACGGTCCAAAGATTAAAAAACATTTTTTCAAAAATGCATTGACTTTAAAAAATTTTAAAGTGTTTTACTTGAGTAGGATCAGAAAACAGCCCTCGTAAGCAGTAAGATGCTTATTGATAATTTTTATACGATTTCTTTGTAGCTAATAAATCACATTTTCAGGGTAGACCAACAACAGTTAGCTTTAAACTTGGAAAGGAATATAACCCAATTAAACACGACAACTCTCGAACAAAGTGATGAATTAGCTGTTGCCCGAACGAACGAAAAATATACTATTAAATTATATTCGTTTATGATTCTTCTTGTCACAGTTTTGGCTTTGGTTAAAACCTACGCTATTTTTGATTTTTGTAGAAGAGCTTCTATAAACATACACAAAGCCATGGTTGCATGTATTACCTACGCTGTCATGTCGTTCTTTGACACTCACTTCATTGGAAACATATTAAATAGATTCTCGCAAGATATGACGAACATCGATGAACATTTGCTCTATATTTTTAGCGAATGTCTTAGGGTATGTACGATAAAATATGTATAAATGTTAGCTTTAAATAGAGTGATCCGCAAATGTTTCTAAAGATGTTATTCTTTTTCTTTTCAAGAGTAATTGTGGACTTATATCAGAGCTATGACATAACTCATATCCCTATCTTTGTCTGTTATGGCCTATTTTAGAACCATTTCTTGTAGATCACTCTTTATATCGAATAGTATTTAAAAAATCCAACTGATTTTTGCAAAGTACTTCAATCAATCAAGCACTCTGTTGTAGTGAGTTAAATTATCGATTACCAAATACTTTTATTTTTTTAAGTGCTGCATTTACCAAGCAGAGTATTTGAAAAATAAAAAAACAAATTATTATTCTAAAGTATTTGAAGTCGTTTAAGGGTTTCAAAAGTATTCATTAAAAACCTTAAAATTGATGTAAACGAAGTGTGTTATAATTTTCAAGGGTGTGCGTAAAACCGGGGTATACCAATGTTGATCTAGGGTGAGATTACAGAACGTCTGCAACTTTGCAGATCTGCAAATATGGCGGACTTACAAATGCAAGTATTCCAAAAAATATCTGCAAATTCACAATATTTATTGTGGTTTATTACCCCCAACAATACTAAACCCAAATTTGGAATACGAAAACTTGATACTTGCATGTGTAAGTCAGTCATATTAGCAGATTTTCAAAGTTGCCGCCATATTTGCAGATCTGCAAAGTTGCAGACGTTCTGTAATCTCACCCCTAGTGTTTAAAAATTAATAACATATGATGACCACAAGGGAAAAAGGGGGAATGTCACAAAAAATAAGTTTCGAGAAAAACGAATTTTAAAACCTTTAGGATCCTTCCCAGGCAGCACACATTAGTATAACTAACGTATTTTATACGTAATACTCGTTTAATTTTGGTATTGGTTGATTCCGTATACGTTTACAGTTTACGATTATTATACATGCCGTATTTTAAAAGATATAATATACGTTTTTTGTATACATTCTATGGTATATAATTGTAAATTTTTCTACGTTTAAATGTAGTTAACAATATACGACTATTTTTAATTTGCGATGAACTATTTATATACAGTGGGCCTAAATATACGTTTAGGTTTATTTAAATTAAATTCGTATAAATTTACATAGTATTACAACATGTGTTCTTCGTTTATAACTCCCGTTTAAATTTCGTCTTGGTTGATTTTTTAAACGTTTACCATCTACCATTTTTATACTTAACGTTTTTTAACAGATAAATTAAACGCTTTTGTTTGTGGATACTAGTTAATATACCTATATTATTTCTACGTTTAAATATAAGTCACCTTAAACGCATTATACTAGTTTACGATGAACTAGTAGACAGAAGTAAATAATATGTATATATTTAGGTTTATTTAAATCAAAAGTTTATAGATATATTTATTTACATTACACCATATTTTTTTAATTATATTACCTGTAATATTTATAACAAATTCTCCATTGTACCGATTTCAAACACCCGAACATTTAAATAACCCGCCAATAACCATGGTGGGGTGGACTAGTCCATGTCGTTGCAGTAAGTGAGATTCGGGGTGTGCTTTAAACTAAGTCGGGCTGGTCCAAAGTGCGTGTAGTGCAGAGAATCGAGAGGGAGAGTAAGGTACCGGCAGACGATCGGGAATCAGCTGACTGATGGTGGCTGGTGGCTGTGAAGCGCCTGCTATCAATCAGACAATTCACGCTATTATAAGTTATATTTCTGTTAACTAGTTGCTAATCACGATAATTGTTTTTTATGTAATAAAAAGTTCTTGTAAAATTGTTGGTGTTGTTGTTGTGCCTAGTTGCATTGCATGTTGCTTTGGCGTCCTGGCTTTTACGATATTGGTTAAAAGCATAGGTAAGTTTCTATTAATGTTTTAATTTAGCTACTCGTTTAATAATTATTGCATTTTACAACAACTACTGTTTTATTACAGTGTGTAAAATGCTTATAGGAACTCCAAAACATAACCTTACTTTTGTTTCTCTTATTTTTATACGTATTTCTATACGTATTTTTTAGGCTACCTAGTTATTCCTAGCATACTTATTTTCTTTTGTTTTGGTCAGTTGTTTTTTATTTAATAAAATGTCTAAAATAACCCTGTCTCGGCGTCATCTACTAAGAAAAATATCACAAAATGTTCAATATGCTTTAAAGTCAAATCAATTTTTTTCCCAATGAAGATAACATTATTAAGGCTTCGGACATTAATATATCATCTGATTCTATTATTTATAATAATTTCCTAGAAAATAATACAAATTTAACTTTGGAGCTTTTAGAAAATATTTCACCTGAAATGCAGTTACATTTTGGTTATAGGAATGGGGGTAAACCAAGAGACTTAACCGACCGAACGATTAGAAGTGCTATGCAAGATTGGCTTAAGTTAGCTAAGGCCTGTCTAGGACACAACACATCCAAAGTGTTAAGTTAAGATTTTAATTTTCATATATATATTTTTTTAATTAAAGAAAAAATTCATTTAGTTTGTTATTCAGTATTTTAGTGTTTATTTTTTATTACTTATTTATTTTTTAGTATTTTATTGTTTATTTTTTTTTAAATAAAATATTGTTCTGTACATATAACAAGTGATCAAAAAAAAAATCCTAAATATTTAGGCCAATTACAATCAAAATAGAAACACGAGTAATACCTATTTCTAGTGCTATGGATGAAATCCAAACTGTCATTTAAGAAATATTAACATTTTTCCATGGCCTCTTTTAGAAATTTTGTTTTGATCACTTTATTTAATTTATGTTTGAAATACATTTAAAACAATATCAGGTAGACGAATTTTACACATTAATAAAAATCATACAAATATATCTAATATAGACGTATAGTAAAACAGGATAATTAAAGGTAGATAAAGTAGTAATGTTAGACGTATAAAAAATAAAAAAATATACGTTTATAGGGCGGACATTTTCACGTATATATTGGGTAGCATATCAACAGTATCCATACGTATATTTTAGTACATAAAAAACGTATTTTATACCAAAGTGAATTCGTATAAATATACTACAACTATAAATCTAATATAGACGTATAGTAAAAACGTTTAATTATAGGTGGATAAATTCTTAGTAATCGACGTTTATAAGGCGGACATTTTCACGAATATATTTGGTAGTACATCAACCGTATTCATACGTATGGTAGTACCTAAAAAAATACGTAATTTATACCAAAGTGTGTTGTCTGGGTTAATTAGTGAATAAATTTAAATCAATTCAACACATATATATTTTTCAACTTATAATAAACATTACAGTAATATTGCAACAAAAAAAAGTTTTTTTTGTTTACCAAATAAGTAAAATAATAAAAAAAAACCGTATTATCCACGGTAAAAACAGGGAATGTCTCTACATTAATAAAATATACAATAGAAATCCTGAATTTTAATAACATAAATGGGGAATGTCTAGTCACATCGGACTGTTATTTTCCTTCTTGCTTTTCTTTTCTTGTTTTTTTTTTTGTCAGAATAAGCTAATTTATCGTAGTATTGTTGAGTTTTTTCGGAGCACAACTTTTTCAGATGTTGCAAACCTTGAAACTTATCAGTAGATATAGGTACAAGACCTTAAAAAAATATATTCATGGCGTTAGGAGTAAACAATTATTAGAAAGTTAAATAATCTAACCTTCATACTTGCGGTCAGGATACAAAAATTCGTGCTTGTTTAATTCTGGATTTATCCTTTTCTGTTTGGGGGGTAATATAACGGATTGTTCCCATGCTCCATTAAATGACGATCTATGCAAAATCAGACGCGGATGCTCATCGCTGGTTTTTATTTCCCTTATAGGGCGTGTAGGAAACGGACACTTTTTTTATCTAATTTTTTAAAAAAGGTTTTCCAATCCCTGATAATATTCTGATTATTTTCAAGGTCCTCTACATGAAACGATGATGGTTTAATCCTAGATTTTTCAATTTCTTGTACCCAATGATGTGGAAGTTCAGCAGCATATTTTTGGTTTATAACTGCCATATCCCTATCGCATTCTAAATAGGAATGTCCTCGAATTGGAAAAGTAATTTTAACAGACTCCAGTTTCTTTCGTACATTAACAATATAATGTATGTATTTGATTAGATTATAATTTTTGTTCTGACTTCCGCAGGAATCACAAAATATTTCCAAGTGCTTAATTCCTCGAACTAGAAAATTTTCAATATAGTGACATTGAAATTACCTCACAGCTTCCCTTATTAGCAACTGTTTCAGGATATACGTAAAATACAACCTCGTCGTTTGCCAAAATGTGTATATTAAACAAATAAAGCGATAACTGCCTTTTGTAGTACACATCATTTGTAGTAATGTTTGGAACTTGAAAATTTTTTGCGAAATTCATACAAATGGCTTCAGTTTCACCATCTTTTTGACATTGAATTTTCAAAGCACGCTTTCTATCGTAAAATACCTGTGCTTTTTTTTATGTAGCATATTTTCATTTTCTAATGTTTGTAAAGATTTTTGTAAATTAATAGTAACTTCAGGAGATCGTGTAATCTTAAGTTTTAGCGTTGTCTTTTTTAGTAGCAGTATATTGATCGCAAGCACTACAGGTATCTTTACGTGGATAACCAAAAGCAATGTTAAATTTTGTATTAAATGTCTTTTTGTAAAATTCGTATGAAACTGGTTGATCTGGATATGTTTCACCATACAATTTATACATTTTTGCAATGTTAAGGTCTTCACTTAAATATAGGCGATCTGTTTTTTTTAAGGCTATAGAGACTTTTACATCCTTTAAATGATCAAATGTGACTTTCTACACTTTCAATAGTCTCTTCAGACTTTTTTGTAGGCCGATTTAAATGCTTACCTCTTAAATCGGTAGGATAAGTACCTGTTGCTTTCAAAGATTTTTGTAGGTACTCCATTTTCTTTTTAGTAATGCCATGTATGGACAAAAAAGCCTTATAACATACAGGTATCTCCAAAATATCT